AACGTGCGCGCGCGGCAGCCTCTGTGCGCGCTCGGCAGCCTCTCTGCGCGCTCGGTTTCTGACTCCTGCTCGCTCGGCTGTAAGGGTTTTGGCACTCTGGAGGCGTGGCCTGTGGCAGATCTCCTCTGTCCTCTGATTGGTTAGTGTACCCCGCACTTTACCCTCTACCTATCTATATAAAAAAGTCTACTAGTCAAGTAGTCGCTGGCATAGCTCAGTTGGAAAAGCGGGTGACTCTCGCCCCGGAGGATCCAGGTTCGAGGCCAGGCAAGGAAAATGCAGTAGATGTCACGTTAATTTTTCTTAATTTCAGGTATTTTACAGTTGTGACCGTTCAACTGTCATTAAACGTCCGAATGTTTGCTGGGCAGTGTTTTAAAAAGTGCACATAAGCTAGATGGTTTTAACCATATAAAATTACATTTTTTGTGATACTGGAAAAATACATACTGAAATAAAACTACTGATTGAAAACTTTATGACTGTGGTTGTACAATATATGACTCACTAATACACTGCAAACTCCCTTAGAGTGGGGCTTCCAGAGAGAGAGAGAGAGAGAGAGAGAGAGAGAGAGAGAGAGAAAGAGAGAGAGAGAGAGAGAGAGAAAAGTTCTTGCCTCATTAATGAATTGTTTATTTTTTTCAGTATTTAATTGACAAATTATCCTTTCAAATAATTAATTGATGAGTTACATAATTGTCCATTTAGAATTGTTGAATGGACTGAGTCAAGTTTGGTGCACTTTATATATTTCAAAACATGTTTTTTTTTTTTATTTTAATGATGCATATAAATAATTTAAATGTTAATTTAATGAAATATTTCTATTTTTTCATTACCTCACCCTTGTTTTGACAAAAACGGGACCTTGCTGGATAATATCATGGAGAAACTATTTGTTCACAGTACATGGCTCCGTAAGGATCTGTGTACCAAAGGAGGAGATACTCAGAAATCTGTCTGCAGATTGTTACAACTCAGACTGGAAGTGGCGGGCTGTAATAAGAAAGGAGACCAAACAGAGGAGTGGGGGTTCAACAACTGATTTATTTAACAAAAGTAAAGATTTACTAAAGCAAGTTAGTGAACAGAAAATGGCCAGTGAGGACTCTCCACCACACAGGAGAGACCCAGTGAAAGCAGAAAAACAGTAGGCTTTGTAGGCAGCACCACACCCTGAGCCCAGGTGCCTCCAAGGCTGCTTAACCAGCTGCCTACAACAGAAGAAAAACACAATTAAACACAAATGAAAACCCAATGAGATGGTGGGGGCATCACAACACGTTCAGGACTACCCAAACACCAGTAATTCTTGACTGCACTGATCTGAGGTGTCAATGGCCATATTCCCCTCTCTTCCAGAGTCATATATTTTCCTCAAGTTCAACTGCACTCTGAAGAGGCTCATTTGGATTGTGCCACATAGGCCAGTGACCTTTGTCTCAGCACTGTATGCTGGAACTATCAGCGACCAACCTGGGAATCTGGTGTGTTGATAATGCTACAACTAGAGATGGTCATCTTGGTAGACAGGGGTTTCTTCATTGATGACATTGTGCCCTGCAAAGTGTACAGGCCAGCTTTCCTTTCTGGCAAACCTCAAATGTCTGCATGTAAAGTTATAGAAACAGAAGCCATAACATCTCTGAGTGCATGTGGAGCGCTCCATTCATCTGGTCCAAGAACACAAGCATTTTGATTGTTATTCCCCTCCTTGCATTTGTAAACAATCAGCTATATGCTGTGGTTTTTCTCCTTACCAACTTTTAAAATTTCCCACTAGTGAAGGCCTGGGCAAAGAAGCCTGATGTCTGAGAACCTCAACATATGTACGGCAACCACACTGTATATTTACACACTTTCATAAAGAAACTGCATATCAAGCTTTCATTCAGATGACCTTCAACAGTGCTGCACCCTGCTGAGGGACATCCGAGTAAAACCTTGAGATGGCCATTTTCTGTTCACTAACTTGCTTTAGTAAATCCTTACTTTTGTTAAATAAATCAGTTGTTGAACCCCCACTGCTCTGTTTGGTCTCCTTTCTTATTACAGCCCACCACTTCCAGTCTGGGTTGTAACAATCTGCAGACAGATTTCTGAGTATCTCCTCCTTTGGTACACAGATCCTTACGGAGCCATGTACTGTGAACAAATAGTTTCTCCATGATATTATCCAGCAAGGTCCCGTTTTTGTCAAAACAAGGGTGAGGTAATGAAAAAATAGAAATATTTCATTAAATTAACATTTAAATTATTTATATGCATCATTAAAATAAAAAAAAAACATGTTTTGAAATATATAAAGTGCACCAAACTTGACTCAGTCCATTCAACAATTCTAAATGGACAATTATGTAACTCATCAATTAATTATTTGAAAGGATAATTTGTCAATTAAATACTGGAAAAAAATAAACAATTCATTAATGAGGCAAGAACTTTTCTCTCTCTGTCTCTCTCTCTGTCTCTCTCTCTCTCTCTCTCTCTCTCTCTCTCTCTCTCTCTGGAAGCCCCACTCTAAGGGAGTTTGCAGTGTATTAGTGAGTCATATATTGTACAACCACAGTCATAAAGTTTTCAATCAGTAGTTTTATTTCAGTATGTATTTTTCCAGTATCACAAAAAATGTAATTTTACCTGGTTAAAACCATCTAGCTTATGTGCACTTTTTAAAACACTGCCCAGCAAACATTCGGACGTTTAATGACAGTTGAACGGTCACAACTGTAAAATACCTGAAATTAAGAAAAATTAACATGACATCTACTGCATTTTCCTTGCCCGGCCTCGAACCTGGATCCTCCGGGGCGAGAGTCACCCGCTCCTCCAACTGAGCTATGCCAGCGACTACTTGACTAGTAGACTTTTTTATATAGATAGGTAGAGGGTAAAGTGCGGGGTACACTAACCAATCAGAGGACAGAGAAGATCTGCCACAGGCCACGCCTCCAGAGTGCCAAAACCCTTACAGCCGAGCGAGCAGGAGTCAGAAACCGAGCGCGCAGAGAGGCTGCCGAGCGCGCACAGAGGCTGCCGCGCGCGCACGTTTTCCTCTGCCGTGTGCTCGTTGACAACGCGCGCACGCAGGTTTGTCACTTGTGCACATCCTTGTGCGCTCACAGACACAGTTTGCTCCCTCTCAGTGCACAAATGACCTCTCGCCATGTATATTTCCGCTCGCGAGTCCCGTTCACACGCGCGCTGTGGACCCAATGCGCGTGCACGGGTTGTGGCACGCTTTAAACGCCATAGATTTCTTAGTAAATATTCTATTTGGCGAGAGATAAACTTTATTGTATTTATCCTAGTGAATCTATAATTAAACGGGTAAACTAGCAGTAGCACATCCAACATCAAAGAAAGTAAAATGTTATTATCAGGAGAGGGAGAATGATTAAGTGGTTAGCAGCAGTGTGCTAGACGATGGCCCCCTCCATGAGGCCACCACAGCTCAGCAGAACATCGTTGTAGCTTCTTCTGGGGAGAAAAACATTTACAGAAAAAATAAAGTTAACAGCTGAAATAGCAGGAAATAATACAGTTAAAGAGCAGATTGTAGAAGAAAGAAACCCCTGGGTTAAACTGGTCTGTCTACTGCATAATGCTGAACTCTAACATGTGTCCTCAGGGAAGGACCTGATTGGTGTCCAGAACCTGCTGAAGAAGCACGAGGCTCTGCAGGCTGAGATCACAGGTCATGAACCTCGCATCAAGGCTGTCACCCAGAAAGGAGAGACCATAATGGAGGAAGGTAGAGCAGGTCTGGTCCTGACATGTTTCTGAGGTGTCTGCAGGTTCTGGCTCACTTTGTTTGGGTCCAGGTCACTTCGCTGGTTCAGAACCCTCGGCCCGTCAGAACATTCTTTTCCACCACGTTCTAACACCAGACCTGTTAACCCAACAGCAACAAGTGGCTCCAACTGACGATGAGACCGGGAAGGAGCTGGTTCTGGCTCTGTACGACTACCAGGAGAAGAGTCCTGGAGAGGTCACCATGAAGAAGGGCGACATCCTCACGCTGCTCAACAGCACCAACAAGGTTCGTATGCCCTTCACAGCCGAGGAACGACCTCCAGCTCAGAGCGAACATCTCCACACCTGCTTTGTGTTTGTGTGACTTTAGGTTGTTTTACTTGAACTCGTGTCTTTAGCTGAATGAGGATGGAGAGACGGGTCGGACCTGGAGCAGGTCGAGGTCTTGCAGAAGAAGTTTGACGACTTGCAGAAGGTCGGACTTTTCCTCCTCTCCGTCTTCCAGCAGCAGCTGTCAGATCAGCTCAGGTGATAATCAGCAGGTGCTTTTGTCCTGCAGGACCTGAAGGCCAACGAGTCCCGCCTGAGGGACATCAACAAGGTGGCATCTGAACTGGAGTCAGAAGGTCTGATGGCTGAGGAGGCTTCTATGGTTCAGGCTCAGGTGAGCGTCACCTGTCTGCAGCAGCTGGTCCCTCTCACTTCCTGGTTTGTTAACTCTGCTCGTCTCTGTTTGTAGCAACAAGAACATCTGGGTTCTGCTCCTGGAAAGGTGCGTGTTGTCCTCCGCCTCCACCAGAACCAGACGTGGTGTTTTTGTTACCACTCATTTGTTTGTTTACAGGATGAAGCCGACTCTAACCCCGGCTTTCCACAGGAGTCGTCAGCAGCACGTTACTGCAGCAGCACGTCATAGCTGCTGATAGGAACCGCTGTGGTCAACAGAACCTTTTCCACCGGAGCCGTCAGCAGTGCGAGTCGGCCGCGTCTCAGGAGCAGCATGTCGCGGCCCTTACGCGCCGGTTCTATTTTCTACGCGCGACGCCTCTGAAACGGGTCAAGTTCGACATTTTTGGGGAAGGAAAGACAGGAAATCGGATGCGGAAATTGAGAGAAGCTACCGAGATTTTCAGAATAAAGAACGTACTGCCTTCCGGTTGCTTTACTTTTAAAAAAGGTTACTAACTGCGGCTCCGTGAGAAGTTATCACCTAGCTAGCGGTCTCTGTTTTTCAGGTCCGTATTGGTGATTATAAAACGGACAGAACATAAAACACAAACCATGTTGTAGTTTTCTCCTGCTTGTTGTTGTGTTTACTGATGAAGTCACTCGTGTGACTTCGTGCTCGGTCGGTGACAGCTGCTCCCCTGCTGCTTCACGTCTCGTGGGAAGGGCCAAGCAGCAGCTTACGCGAGCAAGACGTGCTGCTGCAGTAACGTGCTGCTGACGGCTCCCGTGGAAACCCGGGGTAAACGGCGTCACCCTAGAAGGTGAGTTCATTCAGCTGATCAGAGGTCACCTCTGATGGCCGCAGTCACGGCCGACCGTGCTGACATCACACAGGAATTCAGGTGACCCGGCAGGCACCAGGTGCTGGTGAAAGTGGGGACATGTCAGCTGGTTGCCATGGCTACAGTTATCTTTATGCATCTGTATGACTGCTGACTGGTGTGTTTCCTGTGACCTTTGACCTCAGACCGTACGGTTGGGCGTTCAGACGACGGCTAACTTTAATTCCATCAAGGTAAGAGGAAGCTCTTCCCTTCCTGTCTGAGCGATCCGTCTCCAGGTTTCCTCGTCCGGCGTCCAGCCCGCTGGCGTCCACCTTCATCTCACTGGGTTTGGTTTCTCTCCAGGAGCTGAACAACCGCTGGCGCTCGCTGCAACATGCTGGGCAGCGCCCATGAGGTGCAGCGCTTCCACAGGTACCCCGCACACTTATGCGCCGCTTACGGGTCAGTAGAGTTTGGACCCACACTCAGACGGAGTTCTGATGTCTTCTCAGAGACGCTGATGAGACCAAAGAGTGGATCGAGGAGAAGAACCAGGCCCTGAACACAGACAACTACGGCCACCACCTGGCCAGCGTTCAGGCTCTGCAGCGTGAACATGAAGGCTTTGAGCATGACCTGGCAGCTCTGGGTGATAAGGTCCGCTTTCCTGATCGGTACCAGGACCCGAGTTGTCTCTGGAGACACGTTCTTCATGGTTCTGGTGACTCCACCCCAGCCGTTCCTGATCAGCGATCAGCGGGGTGCTTTCCTATTTAAGGTGGATGGAGGACACAATTTGACGCCAGAAGATTGCCTCAGTTTTGGTAGTAACCAGCCACTCGTGTTACCTCTAGTGTTCCTAGGATTAATGTTATTTCGTAGTGGTTTTGCTCTTATATTGGATTTACCATTCTTCAGGATTCCTGTCGACCTCATTGGATACTGACCTCTACTCCAGGATTTGGATATTCAACACACGGACCTTATCACCACCTTCCATAACCCACCTCTCATCTCACCCAGTGCCCCATCCACCAGGACGCCCCGCTTCTCTCCACCTCTGCTCCCTCTCCTGCGCTTCCCCGGCTCTCTACCTCTCCCTCCTCCAGCCAACACATACACCCACCACAGTAAGTCTGCTGAACACCTCTGCCTGCCTACAATGGATTTTGAAACCAGAACCTAAGCTCACCTGTGTTCTCCCTCCTCCAGATGCTGAGCTGTTGTTGCAGTTCCAACCACAGACTTATCTGTGCACCTTAAGTTCCTCCTTATAAATAAATCATTTTTTCCATCAGTTTTTGGTCAGTGTTGTATTCTGCATGTCTTGGGTTAAGTACCTTCCTCCAAACATGACACTCTTCTTCAAAGAGCAAATCTGTTCAGCACATTCTGACAGACAGACCACCATTCTTCTGTCATGATGCTGTACAGGACATTTTTAGAGTTTTTCTTTTTAAAGACAAATAGGATTACATTTAAAGAGCAATACTTGCACATTATCATTTTCCCACACTTCTGTATAACTGTATTTTGTTGTTTTTCAATAAAGAATGACAAACTATTTAAGTTTGGATTTGTTGCACACAAATATATATCTGTAAAAAATATCTAAAAAGCTAATGTTTACATAACAAGTATGATTGGGTTTTGCAATACGGCACTATTTTAGTAAGAGTTTTAAACCAAGTAAAGTTAGTAAAGAACACATTTCTATTGTCTGCTAAGAAACTGTTGGGATTTAAAATGGGCCTGTTGTACAAATAACTTGTAAATGATTATTCCTCACTTTTGTCTTAACCAAAGAAATTCCAGTAATTGAGCAAAAACATTTATTTTTAACACTACATTTTATAAAACAGGGCGCAAAGTGTCGGCACATGTATGTATGTCGATGGTCCGCCCCAACCGAACCAGGAGACAGACGTCAGGGAGGCCAAGGTTGTCTCTGCAGCTCTCTGGGCACCACGCCTCACTCAGCTGTCTCCAATGATCCAAATGGCTATGGAGAAAAAATAACAGGTTTGTCATAATTGTTTAAAGTACAAAACCATACATGAAGTGGTGAGACAGGTATGTGGAACTTACACTTGCTGCTTTGTGTAGCTGATGTTGGAGACACACAGGCTGCCATGGTGACATTTAAACAGATCTAACAAAAAAATAAAAATGAAAATTAAAAACTCCCAGACCTCATGTCATATTTACTAATCAGCTATGGCTGATTTATTGTTTGGATCACAGTGAGTTACACTAATTCTAACATATTTTTATTTCTATTACACATACATACTTTTTAACTGTTATTTTCACATGACTGTTATCAGGCTCTCTTGTTCTGGTTCTGATGATAATTCCGTGTCTTCCAGTAAGTTATCTTGTGCTTACTTCATCTGTAGAATGTCTCTTTACTTTTGGTAAATTGTACTGAGTCCAGAATAAAGACTAGTTGGCTGTACAAGATACAAACAAGTATAACATTTTGGAAATATATGAAATGTATTTACGCTGCTAATTTAGCTCGAATACTAATAACTGCAATATTATCCGGACTATAACTCGCACTTTTTTACATTTTCTGGCAGGTCCTGCTACTTATACTCCGGAGCGACTTATATAACAAAATATGTAGGCTACACCACGCTGCTGCGGGCCGACTCCGACCCACACAAGAATGAGTTCCCCTGTCCCGCTGGGAGGGTTTCAAACACCGCCAGCATCTGTTAGAGCCTGTGGCGGGGTGCTGAGGGCCGGCTCCAGCCCAGGAATGAGCTCTCCTCGCCGGCCGGGAGGGTTTGAAACACCGCCATCCTCTCCTCTGCTGGCTGTTGTTCATTCTGTTATGGTTACCGGTGCTTGTGTTGTAGTGATGTGTCGGTCGTGAACGAGCCGGCTCTAAGAGCCGGCTCTTTTAAGTGAACGACGGGAGCCGGCTCGTCATTGGGAGCCCCCCCCCCCCCCCCCCCTCCCCTTTTGCTTTGGTGAAAGCCACAGGCGATTGGTCAGCATGTGTAACTGCGTGTCCAGACTGTCCACACACAGAGCAGTAGGGGCGGGGAAGAGGGAGGATAAGACTAAGTCACACAGCAGAGCACATGCGGGCGGAGGGAGACGAGAGGGAATGAGGAGGAGGAAAAAGGCGAGCGAGAGAGAGGAGAGTGCGACGAAGACGGTGAGAAAATGAGCGCCAGCAGTCGGAAAGTGGAGATTTCTGAAAGTGTTCAGTTATTACATCCATAGAAATGATAAATATTTTATATATAGCATTTTTTTTTTACATTAGTAAATCATTTTACATATAGTTTTGCATTATTTTGGTTATAAATGTGCACTACGCAACAGAAAATCTGAGGAGCCACTTGGGAGCCGAAAGAGCCGGCTCTTTTTGGTAAGCTGAGCCAAAAGAACCGGCTCTCTAAAAAGAGCCGGAATTCCCATCACTATTGTGTTGCAATGTGAAACGCTTGGTCTCAGATTTTGTAAGAAAGATAATAAAATGTCCCCCCAAAATACGACTTAAATATATTTTCTCTTATTCATGATACATTTAATGGCTGGTGCGACTCAGGAGTGATAGCGCCGAAAAAAACTACTGAAAACTTGCTCAAAGCAAAATGTTTTCATTACGGAAATAAATTATAAACTTACCGATTTAAAACTTTTTTAATACAGGTACTTCTCACGAACAGGCGCAGAAAACCTCCACCTAAACTCCGTGTAAGGTTCAGGTCGATGGGTGTTCCAGTTAGCTCCGGTTGGGTTGAAGCTAGGTGGCTACATCCGTTAGCTCGGCTCCCACCTCCGCTTTAGCTTTGGGTTAGCCAGGGTTAGCTTCAGGTTAGCTCGTAGCTAGTTCGCCTGGGTGTCGTCACTCGAGCCCAGCCTTACAGCCACACCCTCAGCGCCTCCTCTCTTCCCTTTTATGGAATTGTCTGGGCTGGACGGAACCTGTGACACGGTCAAAATGGCGGTGGTGGCCACCTCCCATTATAGACAACAAACGTGTTATTGAAGCCAATGGAATCCGTTTGTCCAGTATATGTACAGTCTATGGTCAGAAGGCGACGCTCTCGATTTACGTCTTAGATATGTCGATCTACGTTCCTACCCTCACCTATGGTCATGAGCATTGGGTAGTGACCGAAAAAACGAGATCACGGATACAAGCGCAGAGTGGCTGGGCTCTCCCAAAGAGATAGGGTGAGAAGCTCAGTCATATGGGAGGGGCTCAGAGTAGATTCGCTGCTCCTCCACATCGAGAGGAGCCAGTTGAGGTGGCACAGGCATCTGGTCAGGATGCCTCCCTGGTGAGGTTTTCCGGGCACGTCCAACTGGGAGGAGACCTAAAGGTAGACCCAGGACACGTTGGAGGGACTGTGTCTCTCACCTGGCCAGGGAACGCCTTGGGATTCCCCCGGAGGAGCTGGCCCAAGTGGCTGTGGAGAAGGAAGTCTGGGCCTCTCGACTTAGGCTACTGCCCCCATGACCCGACTCCGGATAAGCGGAAGAAGATGGATGGATGGTTTTATAAAAACAATATCTAGCTTATCAAACCATACAGCCAAACTGATTTTACAACCCAGACTTCACAAGCTCTCTCTCAGATACTCACAAGGTTTGGCTAAAACATCTATTTTCCATCATTTCATCCATACTTTGTCCGACTGAGCAACGCCATTTTGTTCTGCGTCTCGTCCAAGTGGTGGAAGTGATGTTCTCTCTCTCTCTCTCTCTCTCTCTCTCTCTCTCTCTCTCTCTCTCTCTCTCTCTCTCTCTCTCTCTCTCTCTCTCTCTCTGTCTCTCTCTCTCTCTCTCTCTCTCTCTCTCTCTCTCTCTCTCTCTCTCTCTCTCTCTGTCTCTCTCTCTCTCTCGTCCACTCTCTCTCTTTCTCTCTCTCGCTCTCTCTGTCTCTCTCTCTCTCTCTCGTCCACTCTCTCTTGCTCTCTCTCTCTCTCTCTCTCTCTCTTTCTCTCTCTCACTCTCTCTGTCTCTCTCTCTCGTCCACTCTCTCTCTCTCTCTCTCGCTCTCTCTCTCTGTTTCTCTCTGTCTCTCTCTCTCTCTGTCTCTCTCTCTCTCATCCACTCTCTCTCTCTCTCTGTCTCTCTCTCTCTCTCTCTCTCTCTCTCTCTCTCTCTCTCTCTCTCTCGTCCACTCTCTCATCATTGCTCTGGCGCCACCTCAAGACTACTACTTACTCTCTCTTTCTGAGCTTCCAGCTGCAAGCATGTCTCAAGCTCAGGGTGGATTTCCTGAAACTCTCACACCTCACCTGGTAGGACAGCAGGTAATAGCTGCTGTTCATGCTTGGGCTGACTCTATTCTCCTAACAGATTTTGGTGATGCAGTAACTCAATCTACATCCGCTGAATTAGAAAACCTGATTTGGGAACAGGCCAAGGAGGTTCCCTCTGGCACCGAGAGGGTTAAAGTTGGGACGTGCACATATGCGCTGGGGTGTTTCTCTACTCTTCTCGCCAGCCTCTGAGATAATGAAGTCATAAATCACGAGCGTAGTCAAAAAGAGCTGCGCATCCTAAAAGAGTTACAACAGCACTGCGTCTCTGATATTAAAGTAGTTAGGGAGTTAGAAACCTTAAAGGAAGAAATGGAAGAAGCTGATAAAAATGCTGAACTAAAAGACTGAGATTTGGTCTTTGAAACAAAAACTCCATGGTGACACAGCTGGCAAAATGGGGGAGCCCATTCCACCTCCCCCTCCCGTGGTATCATCTGTTCCTGAAGCAGCGGCCACTCCTCAGACCAGCAACCGGCCTTCTGCAGTTACAACCACTGATTTCTATCAGATGCTACGATATATCAAAAGGTTTGACCCTCGTCCAGGGAGCTTACATTGTCGCGTGCACGTCCCATTTACCGGTTCCGTTAGAACTTATGAGACAATGCATCTATCAGGGTTCTGTGGGGATGTCGGCGAGTTTTATCGTACTAGACCCTGGTATGGACCTCCTAATTAGAATCGTATCTTTTATTTTAAAGGTGAAATTACTTGCACGAATAGTATCCCCAGAGTAGTCCACTTCTTTTAAACTCGTTATCTTTTGGTTAAGATACTGGAGTGAAGTCTGTAGGCAGGCCAATCCTCTCAGCAATTGTTTGGATTATCTGGATTAATTGCGCCTCTAACAGCTTATGTGGGAGGTTGGTAACTATAAAATGATTTTTGTTAGTTGATCAGGCTAACATAAATTTATCAATTTATTTAATTAATCCAACCCTCCAGCTGATAGAGACTTTTTCAACCTGCAATCAGAGCCAAAAATAACCACTAATATTTTGGTTTTATCGCCCTTAAGACAACTCGTTACTCGCAGGTGGGGGGGGGAGTAAACTCCCCTTATCTTAAGGTTTCTTTATATTATTTTATTATAAACTGTAAAGTAAGTCCTGATAATTCAGAGACCTATAATCGACATGCTTACCTCTGTGCAATTATGGTCAGGGCCCCCACTTGTGAAGCTTTAGAGAAAACCTGAAATAATCAGAATTATGTTTCTTTTCCAAAAAAGTTTATTACAAAATAGAAAAATACAAAAATGAGTAAATATAAAAAAGAACCGATATCCCCCAAGGAGGGATTAGTTCAAAATGATTAAATAAGAGAGTCAGTTTACACCAGCTCCTGTCTTCTGAGAATCTCCCCAAACTCTTCCTCAGCTTCGATCTGGGCTGCTGTTTTTATATCATTCCTGAGACTGCTCTAAACAATGTAAGAGTCACAAGTCATTCTCTCCTGACAGTTTAGGTCAAGAGGTCATATACCAAATACACTTTTTTAGCTCTACACAAAACATTTTGGTGTCATTATCACTTCATGCAGTATTCACATGAGGGCACAAAAGTTACAAGTTGCACTCCTGGAATGGGAGCACAGGTCATAAATCTTCATGTTGGTAGCAAATTGTAGGTCTTCCTTCAGCATTCCTGAGATGGCTCCTGGTCCAAACGGGCTGTCCTCACTCCAGTCCAGTCCTTCTTTTCCCGCCAGAGGTGGATCCAGGGGTGGGGCCATGGGTGGATCCAGAGAAGCCTGCCTGCCTCTTGACCCTTGGCCTAGTTCTGTCCCCGCCAGCAAGTCCTGAACTCTTGTCCTCTTGACCCTTCTGTGACTGTGACGTGCACCATCTCCTTTCGGCCACGAGGGGCCCTCAGTCCGCTGCCTGCACAGCTGCACGCTGTTAGTTCAATTATGCCACCCTGTTAAAAGGGAGAGTTTCATGTCATTCTGGGAGAGATGTGCAGATGGGTGGTGGCACGGAGGTGTTTGCTCTCCTCTCTAGCTCTCCTCGCTTACAGACGTTAAAGTCTTCGTTCATTCATGGTATCTCTTCGATTCGCTACCTGAGTGGTATTTCCATTTGTGTTAAGACCTTAGTGGTATTTTTGTGTTTGATAATATTAATAGTAATTCGTGTGTCCTCGTTATAGAGAGACTTTGCTCACCCTTTTGGTGCAGTTTTGCGTTTTCCGTTTAGCCTTATTCCAGCCTATGTGCTGCGCTTTTAGTTTATTAGTAGATATCGTTTTTCTTTATTGGGAAATTCCTTTGTTTATTAATACCCAGTCGAGGATGACCCTTTTGTTCCCTTTTCAGCCAAGAGCTTCGTTTTTGTTTAATAAATATCTTGTAGAGAACTGTAAAAGTGTTTGTTTCATTTCCAGTACAAAATCTTCTTTACTCCCTTAACCACATCGTGCTCCTAGCAAAGCCGAGGGACGTAAAAGAGTGGGGGCTCGTCCGGGAATTTTTGTTATTTATAACATTTTTACCCGTAATTTTCACTTGTACTGTGTTTGAAACTAACCTTTTATTTTTTCTCTTAGAGGCGAAGCAGGAATCATGTCTACCTTTGACGTACAGGCATTTGTGGAGGCTCCATCGCGCCGGCTGCTGGAGAATTGCAGAAAATCCGATCTGCAGCAGGTTGCCGCCCACTTCAGTCTGCTCGTCCCCAAGCAGCTAACGAAAGACGCCCTACGTCAGTTCGTTTTGGATTTCCTGGTTGCACAAGAGATTCTTCCGCCTGTGTCACGCCCTCCGTCACCACCGGTGACTAACGAAGAAGAGAGGATGGAGAAGCCTGAACCAGCCTGCTCCTCGAAGTCCTCTTCACCTCCGCAGAGCCCTTCGTCGTCTCCGTTAACCGGAGCTCGCCTGAAACTCCGACTGGCTCGTTTGCATATTGAGGCCGAGGAACGCGCTCTGGAAAGAAAGCTTCAACATGAGATTGAACTTAAAAGACTGGACGCTGATATTCGACTGAGAGAACTTGAGCTCACATTACAGAGCAGGAAGCGTGATCCTGCCACTGTTCGGACTGTTCATCCAGCCGAGGACTCAGACGCCGCCATTTCGCCTCCCCTTGGGCATGTCCGACCGCCATCTGAGGCTCCGCTTACTCCTACGTCTTCTACGCCACCATTCGACATCAGCAAATGCCTCACGCTCCAGCCTCCCTTCCGAGAGACTGAAGTGGATGGGTACTTCCTTGCTTTCGAGAGGATGGCTGCGATACTCCGGTGGCCTCGCGATGTCTGGCCTTTGCTTTTGACCTGTAAGTTAACAGGTAAGGCTCTTCAGGTGGTGTCTGCTTTGTCTCTAACAGACAGCGCAAATTATGACACTGTAAAGTCTACTGTTTTGCACGCTTACGAACTCGTACCGGAAGCCTATAGGCAACGGTTCCGCTCCGAAACACCGCGAGACAATCAATCTTATGTCGAGTACGCTCATAACAAGTCTGTTTTGTTCGAGAAATGGTGTGTTGCTTCTCATGTCACTTCGCTAGCTGAGCTCAAAGAGCTAATCCTATTAGAGGAATTTAAGAGACATGTCCCCGAAAGACTAGTGCACTACTTAAATGAACAGAAGGTTGCTTCCTTCTCCGAAGCCGCCTTACTCGCTGACCAGTTTTCTCTCACCCATCGAGTCAAAGAAACTCGTTCAGAGCCCGTACGAGGAGTCAAATCTCCTCCGAAACTTCGCCCTGCTACTGAGAGTTCTGAGTGTTTTTACTGCCACAAGCGTGGCCATGTCATCAGAGACTGTTATGCTCTAAAGCAGAAAAACAGACGAAATGGCGACTCGCCCAGAAAAACCCGACCAGAAGTGGCTCTTTGTTCATTAAAACCCTGTGTTGGGATAAATGTAACCAAGCCCAACTCATGCTACAAACCATTTTTGTCAGAGGGGCGTGTATCACTTCCGGGTTCTGCAACAGATGAAAAAGTGGTGATATTAAGAGACACCGGAGCTTCACAAACGCTGCACCTGGCGGTAAGGCGTTTCCTGTTTCCTGTTTTCAGTGTTGCACTCCGTGTAGCTGTTTGGCGTTTGGGGCTCGCTAAAGCTGATTTAATTTCTCTGTACTTGGATATCTCTGAGTTATTCTAGCACAAAAGCACGCTAAAACACACATTTTCTGTTGTTCCACCTAGCTTTTAGGGAACCATTTGAGTTTGCACGCAGTTTATTTGGTACTGAACAGTTTGCTCGTCCAGTTAGCTTAGCCTCAGCACGGCTATGGCTACTTCTGTCTCTGCTTCTCCGTCTCCTATCTCTTGCTCTCTGTGTCAGATGTTTAGTTACTCCTCTGCCTCCTTTAGTGATAATGGTACGTTTAATAAATGTAGCATTTTTGTAGCTTTGGAGGCGAGGGTGTTGGAATTGGAGTCCCGGCTCCGCGCTGTTGAAAAACCTGTAAACAGCCGTAGTTACTTAGCTAGCGCGGGGCTAACTAGCTCAGAACAACCACGTAGCGACCCTCCAGTGGAACCCGAGCAGCCGGGACCTCAGGCCGGCTGGGTGATGGTACGCAGGAAGCATAGAACCCAGCCCGTGGGCCACCACCAACCCGTCCACGTTTCTAATAGATTTTCCCCGCTCAGTGACGCACCCACTGATAAGCCGACTCTGATCATTGGCAGCTCCATAGTCAGAAACGTGGCATTAGAGACTCCAGCAACCATAGTTAAATGTTTACCGGGGGCCAGAGCGGGCAACATTAAATCTTATCTGAAACTGCTGGCTAAGGATAAGCGTAAATACAGTAAGATTGTTATTCACGCTGGCGGTAACGACACCCGGTTACGCCAATCGGAGGTCACTAAAATTAATGTTGCTTCGGTGTGTAAGTTTGCCAAAACAGTGTCGGACTCCGTAATTTTCTCTGGCCCCCTGCCTGATCGGACCAGTGACGACATGTTTAGCCGCATGCTGTCCTTCAACCGCTGGTTGTCAAGGTGGTGTCCTGAAAACAACGTGGGCTACATTGATAATTGGAAAACTTTTTGGGGAAAACCTGGTCTGATGCGGAGAGACGGCATCCATCCCTCTTTGGATGGTGCAGCTCTTCTTTCTAGGAATATGGCCAGTTTTATTAGTCCTTCATGACAACCCAGGGTCCAGACCAGGAAGCAGAGTCGTAGTTTAACCCACCCCTCTGCAGCTTCTGTACTGTTACCCACCCACTACCCCATAGAGACAGTGTCCTGCCCACGGCCAAAACCACACAGATTAAATATCAGGCTTAATAAAGCAAATCATGGAAATCTCATAAATATTAGAACAAATTCAACTGAGCAGAAAACTAGAAAAATTAAATGTGGGTTGTTGAACATTAGATCCATTTTTTCTAAGACTTTGTTAGTTAATGAGTTGATTTGTGATAATCAGATCTCTTTGCTCTCTCTCACAGAATCCTGGCTGCACCAAGAGGACTATGTTAGCTTAAACGAGTCGACTCCTTCAAATTATTTAAATCATCATATTGCTCGAAGTACAGGGCGAGGAGGAGGAGTGGCAACCATTTTTCATTCAGACTTATTAATCAGTCCCTTACAGATTAATAGTTACAGTTCGTTTGAACATCTTATTCTTAGTTTTCCTAATCCAGATTGCAAAACTGTAAAACCACTCTTGTTTGTAGTTTTATATCGTCCACCAGGCCCTTACTCTGAGTTTTTGGATCAGATCTCTGATTTTTTATCTGATTTGGTGCTAAATACTGATAAGGTCATTGTAGTGGGGGATTTCAACATTCATATGGACATCGAAAATGATTGCCTCAATGTAGCCTTTAGTAATATCTTAGACTCAATTGGTTTTACTCAAAGAATACATAGCTCCACCCACTCCTGGCATCATACATTGGACCTTGTTCTGACTTATGGCATTGAGTGTGAGGAAATAACAATCTTTCCACATAATCCAGTCCTCTCGGACCACTTTCTGATAACCTTTGAGTTTTTTATAACTGAGTTCTCGAGACATGAAAGTAAATTTCACTATAGTCAGTCTCTATCTGACAAAGTTGCGTCTTTTAAATCAACTGTTCCATCTTTACTGTCCTCAGCATCTCAGAGGCATGTAGCAGAGGGCAATATTTTCAGTTCTAGCCCCTCACAAATTGATGCCTTAGTTCATCATGTTAATTCCTCTTTAAGTGTGGCATTAGATGATGTTGCCCCTTTAAAAAAGAAGGTAATTAGGGACAGGAAGTTGGCTCCCTGGTTTAACTCTCATCTACGAGCCTTAAAACAAAACTCTAGGAAATTGGAGAGAACATGGCGCTCTACGCACCATGAGGAGGCCTACCTGTCCTGGAAAAATAGTCTTGTGCTTTATAAAAATAAGCTTCAACAAACTAGAACTGCTTATTTTTCAGCATTAATTGAGGAGAATAAGCATAATCCTAAATTTCTTTTCAGTACAGTTGCTAAACTTACACAGAATCGTAGCTCTGAGCCATCTATTCCCTTAGCCCTCAGCAGCAATGACTTCATGGGATTTTTTACAAGTAAAATTAATTCTATTAGAAACAAAATCTTTAGCATCCTCCCTAATGCGATTTCTTCTTCCTCAGTAAGTGAGGCAGCTTCAGAGGTGACTCTAGAACCTCATCTGTGCTTGAACCGTTTTGATCCAGTTGAGCTTTCGGAGTTATCAAAAATATTAGCTTCATCTAAACCTTCAACTTGCATTTTGGATCCAATCCCAACCAAATTATTTAAAGATGCATTTCTTTGGTTACTGCCCCCATTCTAGATATAATGAATCTATCCTTAGTAAATGGGTATGTACCACAAGATTTTAAGGTGGCTGTAATCAAACCTTCACTTAAGAAGACTTCTCTGGATCCAGATGACCCAATGAATTATAGACCAATATCTAACCTTCCATTTTTATCCAAAGTCCTGGAGAAAATAGTGGCCATCCAAGTATGTCAGCATTTAAACACTAATGCTCTGTTTGAGGAATTTCAGTCTGGTTTTAGAGAGTATCACAGTACTGAAACTGCATTAGTGAGAGTTACAAATGATATTCTCATGGCCTCAGATAAGAATCTTGTGTCTGTTCTAGTCTTGTTAGATCTCAGTGCTGCCTTTGACACAGTTGATCACAATGTTCTTTTAGAAAGACTTGAACATGTTGTAGGGATCAAAGGAACGGCGTTAGGCTGGTTTAAATCCTACCTGTCTCACAGATTTCATTTTGTAAATGTACATGACAAATCTTCTTCATACTCCAGGGTTACTTGCGGAGTACCACAGGGTTCAGTGCTTGGACCAATTCTTTTTACTATATATATGCTCCCAATTGGTAAAATCATTAGACAGCATGGGATAAACTTCCACTGTTATGCTGACGATACCCAGTTATATTTATCCATTAACCCTGATGAACCTAATTGGTTGGGTAGATTACAGGCTTGTCTTGAGGACATAAAAATTTGGATGACTCTTAACTTCTTGCTTTTAAATCAAGACAAGACGGAAGTTCTCATCTTTGGACCAGAAATCCAGAAAAGGAAATTGCTTAGCCAATCGCCTGACCTTAATGGCATTACATTAATCTCCGAGAACAAAGCAAGGAACCTTGGTGTTATCTTTGACCAGGACATGTCATTCAAATCCCAGGTTTCACAAGTTTCCTTTTTCCACCTTCGGAATATTGCTAAGATTAGAAGCATACTTTCCAGGAGTGATGCTGAAAAACTAGTTCATGCATTTATTACATCAAGACTGGATTACTGTAGTTCATTACTCTCAGGAAGTCCACAGAATGTAGTTAAAAGTCTTCAGCTTGTCCAAAATGCTGCAGCAAGAGTTCTGATGAGAATTAAAAAGAGAGATCATATCTCTCCTGTCTTAGCTTCCCTACATTGGCTACCTGTTAAATTCAGAATAGATTTTAAGATCCTTCTTCTCACATATAAAGCTCTTAATAATCAAGGTCCATCATACATCAGTGATCTGGTTGTTCCATATGTTCCTAACCGAGCACTTCGCTCTCAGACTGCAGGTCTACTGGTGGTTCCAAGAATATCTAAACTTAGGATGGGAGGCAGATCTTTTAGTTATCAGGCTCCTCTCCTGTGGAACCAGCTCCCAGCTTTAGTCCGTGAGGCAGACACTTTGTCTACTTTTAAGAATAGGCTTAAAACATTTTTATTTGATGGGCTTATAGTTAAAATCTGATGTTAGCCTAAATCTGGACAAGTTGGGGATTACAGGGAGGTGGAGTGTACAGTCGGTAAAGACGGCTCTCCATTGCCCTGCCTCCAACATGCCTACATCTAAATAGGATAGATTATCCAGAGTTAACTCTGTAGTTATGCTGCTATAGGCTTAGACTGCTGGAGGACACACTGACCACTTTTCACACTCTACTGGTTTATTCTACAGTCTGCTCTTTAACTGTACTATTTTGTGCAATTTCAGCTGTTAACTTTATTTTCTCTGTAAGTGTTTTTCTCCCCAGAAGAATCTACAATGACGATCTGCTGAGCTGTGGTGGCCTCATGGAGGGGGCCATCGACTAGCACACTGCTGCTAACCACTAATACATTCTCTCTCTCCTGATAATAACTTTTTGTTTTCATTGACTTTTGATGTGCTAATACTAGTTTATCCATTTAATTATAGGTCCACTAGGATAAATACAATAAAGTTTATCTTTCACCAAATACAATATTTACTAAGACATCACAATATAACTATAGACACATTACGTGTGTGTGTGTGTGTGTGTGTGTGTGTGTGTGTGTGTGTGTGTGTGTGTGTGTGTGTGTGTGTGTGTGTGTGTGTTTGTGTCTTTGTCTGCCTGCTCTGTCTTCTCTATCCCCAGTGAGTCGTGGAGGATGGCTGCTTATACTGAGCCAGGATTCTCTGGAGGTTTCTTCCTGTTAAAAGGGAGTTTTCCTCTCCACTGTCACTGCATGCTTGCTTAGTATGAGGATTGCTATATAGTCACTGACACTAGTCAGTGACTTGATGCAATTTGCTGGGTTCCTTATATAGGAAACATTATTTCTGATTGGCTTAATGAACTGTGAATTGGAATGTTTATTATGTGAAGTGCCTTGAGACGACTCTTGTTGTGATTTGGCGCTATATAAATAAAATTGAATTGAATTGAATTGAATTAATTAAAAAGAACGTTTTGCCTTTTTCCGAAATGAGCCGAGCTGGCTACTCTGTGATTTTACAAGGCATTGAAATGAGAACAGTTGCTGCTGAAGTGCATCGGATTAATCTGTCTTGTCCCTTAGTTTTTGGTATTTTAGCTGTGGCTGTAGTGGACGATCTGCCAACGAAAGGGGTGGATCTTATCCTGGGAAATGATGCCGCAGGAGGTTTGGTTGTGCCTGTTCCTGAGCTCATCACAGAACCAGAGGTGCAAGAGAGTACTGACAGTGTGCCTGCATGTGTTCTAACTCGAGCTCAAGCAAAGAGGGATCCAGATATAACCCTCCAAGATTCCGTTCTGAGCAAGCTTTTCTCAGATTCTGGTAAACAACCAGATTCTGCCGCTCGTGTGTCGCCTCAGTTTACTCATGAGAATTTCCCCATAACCTGTGATGCTCTAGTGGAAGCTCAAAATTCAGATGAAACTCTGAAGCCCTTCTTTGCCCTAGCTTGTGCTGATGTTAACTCTGCTAGTGGCACTACTGCTTATGTGCTAGAAAAGGACATTTTGTTTCGGTGTTGGGCTCAGCCCTCTGCAAAAGGGGCTGACTGGGGGAATGTAAAACAGATTGTGGTACCTGTTAAGTTCCGTTCCCACATTTTGGCTCTAGCTCACGAGAGTGACTGGTCTGGACATTTGGGAATAAACAAAATGTATGAGTCCATATTACGCCATTTCTTTTGGCCCGGATTAAAACGCCAGGTCTCGGACTATTGTAAGTGTTGTCCAACCTGTCAGACCGTGGGAAAACCGAACCAGAAAATAAGACCAGCACCATTACATCCCACTCCTGTGATCTCCACCCCGTTCGACCACATAGTCATCGACTGTGTAGGTCCACTTCCTCCATCTCGTTCGGGAAAGATATATCTTCTCACTATTATGTGTTCTGCCACCCGCTTTCCTGAGGCTGTACCTTTATCTTCCATTACGACTGCTAACATCATTAAGGCCCTAACAGGTTTCTTTTCTGTGTTCGGAATGCCTAAAGTCATACAATCGGACCAGGGCACCAACTTTACCTCACGGGTTTTTGCTCAAGTAGCAGAGACCTTGCACATTGAACATCACAAGTCTTCTAGTTACCACCCGGAAAGCCAGGGAGTCGTGGAAAGATGGCATCAGACTCTGAAGTCCATGTTAAAGAAATATTGTTTTACCTCTGGGAGATCTTGGGAAGATGGTCTGCCATTTGTGTTATTCGCTGCTCGGGACACCATTCAGGAATCCACTGGATTCAGTCCCCACCAACTTGTTTTTGGCCACTCTCCACGGGGCCCCCTCAAAGCCCTGAAAGAGAAGTTTTTGTGGCCAGCTCCTTCTGCAGGTGTTAGTGCACCTTTGTTTGTCCAGACGTTCCAGAAAAGGCTAAGGGAGGCTAATCTCCTAGCTCAGCAACACTTAAGCAAAGCAAAGCAGAAAATGAAGGTGAAGTTTGACAAAAAAGCAGTTGTTAGAGTGCTACAACCTGGAGACCAGGTTTTGTTATTGAGTCCTGTTGTGGGTTCCTCTTTGTCTCCAAAGTTTGAGGGTCCTTTTGAGGTTCTCTCTAAGCTCAGTGAAACCAATTATGTGATCAGGACTCCTCTAATGAGAAAGAAAACCATGACTTGCCATGTGAATCGTTTGAAGCTATTTCATGAACATGTTACCGCTGTGACCCAGCCTTGTTTAGTCTCTGCAGATGTTTCTCCCCCACTGCCTGATACTGTGCAAGACGATGCTGTGACGTGGAGTTCGCTGCCCCCTGTTACCCCACGTCTCTGCAACTCCGAAGCTCTCTCCAACCTGTCGTCCAGTTTGGGTCACCTCGCCTCTTCGCAACAGGAGGAGCTTTCTCATTTAATTCACTCTTTTCCAGAACTATTTTCAGACGTGCCCAGTCAGACCCACCTAATAACTCATGACATCAGCCTTACTGATTCAGTCCCCGTTCGTATGCACCCTTACAGGGCTAGCCCGATGAAGAGGGAACTAATGAAAAAGGAGGTAACTTATCTATTAGAACATGGCCTAGCAAAGCCCAGCACCAGTTCCTGGAGCTCGCCATGTTTATTGGAAAATAAACCTGATGGCTCATATAGGTTTGTTACTGACTACCGCAAGCTAAATGCAAAAACCGTCCCAGATTCGTTTCCTTTGCCTCATGTAGAAGACTGTGTGGATAGTGTGGGTTCAGCTACATTTGTCACTAAACTGGATCTTCTAAAAGGCTATTGGCAGGTGCCACTAACTCCGTTTGCTTCTAAAGTGTCTGCTTTCGTCACTCCCGATAACCTGCTCCAGTACACCGTGTTGCCGTTCGGTTTAAGGAATGCCCCCGCTACTTTCCAGCGTCTAGTGAACCAGGTTTTGTGTGATGTGCCTCATTGCAGCGCGTATCTTGATGACATAGTCATCTACACTCAGTCCTGGGATCTGAATCTCCAGATTTTAGCTCAAGTCTTTGACCGCTTAAAGATGGCTAATCTGACTCTAAACCTCGCCAAGTGTGAGTTCGTGAAAGCCACTGTCCGTTATTTAGGGAAGGAGGTAGGACAGGGCCAAGTGAGGGCGCTGTCTGATAAAATTCAGGCTATTGTTTCATTTCCGCCACCGACCACACGCAGAGAACTCCGTCGATTTCTGGGCGTGACCGGTTATTACCGCTGTTTTTGCCGTAACTTCTCCACTGTTGCCAAACCTCTCACAGATATGTTAAGCACCAATGTCCCATTCTCTTGGACCTCCGAATGTAACCAGGCGTTTCTTGCTCTGCGTGACCTACTCTGTTGTGCTCCAGTTCTTACAGCTCCTGACCTTTCTCGAACTTTCAAGCTTGAGGTCGATGCCTCTGATGCTGGAGCCGGAGCTGTGCTTCTCCAGGAAGATGCTGGTGGACTTGATCACCCCATCTGCTACTTCTCAAGGAAGTTTAACCTTGCACAAAGTCATTATTCCACCATAGAGAAGGAGACCCTAGCCCTCATATGGTCCCTGCAACACTTTTCTGTTTATGTTGGCAACAGTACATTCACCACCATTGTCTTTACAGATCATAACCCGCTGGTTTTCCTCCACCGAATGTACAACCACAATCAGCGCTTGATGAGATGGGCCCTCCTCCTCCAAGAATTCAACTTGGACATTCGCCACAAGAAAGGGACAGAAAACCTCATGGCTGATGCCCTTTCCCGCAGTTTTTCAATTGAGACTCCCTTGTAGGTTTTAGATTGTTCGATCTCTGATAAGGCTAGTGGTGTCTGTTCATTCAGACATCTCGGGAACACTCCGCGGCGCTGGGGATCAGCGCCGTGATATATTTTGTGTTTAATCTGCCCACCTTTTGAGATCTAGGGGTTATTTAGTTAGTTTTATTTGTGTGTAGATAGCGGGAGTTCTCATTAGTTCGTTCGGTTTCAACAACTGTGGTCGTTTTTACCTTTTAGTTGTTGTTTTGAGGGGGGGAGTGTGACGTGCACCATCTCCTTTCGGCCACGAGGGGCCCTCAGTCCGCTGCCTGCACAGCTGCAGGCTGTTAGTTCAATTATGCCACCCTGTTAAAAGGGAGAGTTTCATGTCATTCTGGGAGAGATGTGCAGATGGGTGTTGGCACGGAGGTGTTTGCTCTCCTCTCTAGCTCTCCTCGCTTACAGACGTTAAAGTCTTCGTTCGTTCGTGGTATCTCTTCGATTCGCTACCTGAGTGGTATTTCCATTTGTGTTAAGACCTTAGTGGTATTTTTGTGTTTGATAATATTAATAGTAATTCGTGTGTCCTCGTTATAGAGAGACTTTGCTCACCCTTTTGGTGCAGTTTTGCGTTTTCCGTTTAGCCTTATTCCAGCCTATGTGCTGCGCTTTTAGTTTATTATTAGATATCGTTTTTCTTTATTGGGAAATTCCTTTGTTTATTAATACCCAGTCGTGGATGACCCTTTTGTTCCCTTTTCAGCCAAGAGCTTCGTTTTTGTTTAATAAATATCTTGTAGAGAACTGTAAAAGTGTTTGTTTCATTACAGTACAAAATCTTCTTTACTCCCTTAACCACATCGTGCTCCTAGCGAAGCCGAGGGACGTAAAAGAGTGGGGGCTCATCCACTCTGACCACTGTTTCTAAGTCTTGACCGGCTGGGACTTGCAACATCCCCCACGGGGACGAACTTGGGCAAAGGACCATAGAAAGACAGAGCAGCAATGCAAGCCTTCATAAATCTAGCATCCATCTCACTCAGGAACGGCTGAACACTCAGACAACTAACTGTGGCCTCCACATCGACCCTCATTCTCATCATAATGCCATCATCAGCTACGGGTAAACACAAGGTC